ACTTTGTGCTTTACACCTTCTGAGTTTGGGTTAAAGCATGTTCCTAGTGCACTGGAATCGGGATCGAAGGCATTCCCGGGTGACCAGGAGCCAGGTAGAGGCACAAAGTCCAACGACTGAGCAATTGTCTTTTCATCTCAAGTCCTTCTTTTGCAGTATCGAGATGTTTATACAGCTGTCGTCGTCCTCTGGAAGTCACAGTGCACATGGTGAATTCTTTATTGTTATCATGTAGGAGTAGAAATTCTTTTCCTGTCTTGTCATTTTTTATCAAAGTGAATTTCTCTCCTCTTTCTTTAATGCACACTCCAGGAAAGCTTGGTGCTGCTGGTTTGAGTTTCTCACATTCACAGCTTTTTGCTCTCTGTTTCTCGCTGGGTAGAGTTTGTCATAGTGGTTCTGACACCTCATCTTGGGAGACACTGTGGAGCCATGCCCCGTTATTATCACCCACATGCTACTGAGATGGTAATTTCCTGACACCAAACTGCCTCTTCTCATGGTGAGAAAACATCCTCCACCAAGAGAGTGCACATGGGAACGGCAGATTTGGGGAATGACAGGGATATTGCCCTGTACATCATTAAGGCTGAAATTTGATGAGGCATTTGCACAATAAGCAAAATATCAGCTTAGATTAGAACTAACTATAAAAATTTAAAACTTTTTATATGTTCTCAGAAGTCTGAGAAATTATAATGCTGATTTTATAAAACGAAGTCACCAGAAGATGAAGTGGCTGGTACAGGAGCACGAGGACTCGTACTCAGAGCTGCTAGAGAGCTGCTGGCCCTGTGGGACTGGCCGCCTGCTCAGCTCCCAAAGAGGAATGGCTCTTCAGGATGACCATTATGGGTCTCCCAGCAAATCCCAGCTGCAGAAATGTCAGATAACACCCAGTACAGCCTCAGAAAGCTGTTTAGGAAGAAACCCAGCCCTTCTGTTCCCAGTACGTCTCCCCTGTGAAGCTGCTGTTGGCAGATGGTGTCCCTGCTGACAGGCGCCCGCGCAGCCACAGGCACCAACGAGCGCACGGTCCTGCCGGGGTGAAAAAGCCAAGGCTCAGCTCAAGGTGAAGCCAGGGGTTTTTTTTCAGAAACGAATTTATCTGGAAAATCCCCAGCTTTTTCCTTGCTCCAAATGGATTATTATTTTCTCCAGTACTTTGTTCAGTGGCATTTGATGACATCTTGTGAACATCTCAGCTGTGTGAGCTGGATTTCAGCTGCTTTCTGCTCTGTTTGAACAGGGTTAGCTGTTATTAGGGAGCTTTGCCACAGGATATTGTTTCTCTTGTCTAGAAAATGGGGAGTGAGCCTGTGCAGGGTTTTTTTTGCCACCCGTTCACCAGCAGTTAATTTATCTAAGTGTAAATTCAGCATAGACTACGTGGCATGAGGCTCCTTCCCAAGGGCATCTGCCCCAGACCAGTGCTTCAGAAACCCCGTGGGGGCATGTGTGGAATTTGGGCAGTTTGTTCTGTCCAGTTTAGGTTTTCTCTGCCGTAGAGCAGGGAGATTCCCCGTGGCCTTTTCCACCTCCCTCTGCACAGCCCATTCAGCAGAGGATTTAAAAAGTCTCCCCCCAGAGGTCGTGCCCAGCCCCAGGTCCATCATTCTGAGTGGTGTTGCTCCCACGTACATCCCCGGCAGCAGAGCGGGGTGGGAGGCGGGACAGAGGCTGCCAGCGAAGAGCTGTTTCAGAAGCACCACGTCACTGCTCATCGTAACGTCCTCGTGGCCAAGGAAGACTAAATCCCCTCAGCTCTGCATTTTCTTGGTCCCTTCTCCAGGTTTTTCACATAAACCGAATATTTATTTGAAAACAGCCCTTGCCTTGACCATGCGTCTCTGAAAGGCTGGGCAGAAGAGATTGTTGTTGAGGAACTCTCTAAAACAAGTGAAATTGTGTATCTGTATAGTTCTGAGAATAATATTTAACGCAATTACAAAGCTTTTCTTAATGGGCACACTGTAAAATGTGGCTCTGCCCCACTAAAAAGCATGTTGTGAAATGGGTGCAGCCCCAAACCAGCTTCCTCGTAAATTTGTGCCATTTTGCAGTGACAAAAATGATGCAGGGAGCAAGCAAGCCTCTGTTTTACTTTGCCCCGTGGCGGGTTGGGGGCTGTAAGGCAGCGGTGCTGGCGTGCAGATCTACAGAAAAGAGCTGCTGCATCAAGCTCGGGATGCAGCAGGCTGCAAGGAGCGGAGTGACCGGTTTTTGTCACGGAAATCACAGCTGCAGTTCCCCGTGGAAGCTGAAACTTGGCCACCTCCCTTTTCATTCAGTCCGTCTCCTTCCAGAAACTCCCTCTCTGCAGAGACAGAAATATTTATAGTCTGTCTTGAGGAAATTGCAATCGTACACACTGAAGACCCCCAAAGCCTGCCTCTCTGCCAGTATAAACAAAGCTGGGGGAAAAAAAAAATACATTCTTTATCTAAATCTGATGCATTGTAGTTGTGTTGTTTGCTTTTACTCTACCAGACAGGAGGCAGTGAAGAGAGTGCCCAAAAATCTACAAAGCCTTGGAAAATCCAGGTGCTACCTTTGGGGGCTGCACTTGGCCACCCCGCTCATCTCCTGTCCTCAGCATCGCACCAACCTCCTGTGTTTCGGGCTCTAAAAGGGTCGTGGACAGACAATAGCAAACACTTATCAAGAACAAAAACTCTACTGGATAAACTTTAATGCTAAGGTATGCAAGTATGGCCAGCCAGAGAATAACTGACCAGCTGACAGATGCTGGGAAGGGCTCCAAGTCAAACATCACATCAAAAAACATCCGTTCTCAGACTGCTTACGCCTTGGACTGCTCTTCAGTCTATCTCATCCACTGTGTCCCGTCTATCGGTGTAAAAATAGAAAAGAAAGGAAAAAGAAACCCAGCCGTGGCATTAGAGAATTTTTAAATTGCCCCATAGGTGAAGGGCAGTGGCTCGAGGCCACTCTGCAGCCGTGGTTTAAAGCCCACGGTGACCCCTTGGTTGCCGGGTTTTTCTTGTGCTGGAAAATTCCTTGTTCACGTGCAGGGTTTGGGAATACTCTCCCAGCTCCCAAAACCTCGTGTGCTTCCAGCCAAGGTCAGTGCCGGTGAGTACTGGTCACAGGTGACCACCGTGGCCACGGGGCTGTGGCAGAAGCGACCACATCCTTATAAACGTGCTGTAAAGGAAGGTGCAAGGCTTCCCAGTGTTCACACAGAGCTTGGAATTCTGAAGGTCGTTTTAAATGTAGCAGTAATTTTGCAGTAAGGGGGGGAAAAAAGGTTTTCCTTTCCTAGAGACTTTATTTGGGTTTTATATTTAAGTGAATTGATTGAAGGAAATTCTGTAGTGACAAACACAAGTTATTTTTCTAAGGCGAACTGAAGTCCCTTTCCAGACCACTGTAGATGAACGGACTGGGAAGGGGCTGAGCTGAAGGAAAGGCTCCGAGTGTGCCTGTTCTGCTTCCGTGCCACTCAGCCTGTACTCTGTACCGTACACCGCATATCTTTAATTCCCTCTCAGATTATTCTTGGGCAACGCGCTGTAGCGCAGGGTCATCAGGGAGAACAGAAGCTTTTGTGACTCTCCCTCTCCTCCTTCCTCGTCTTTGGCTTGGGCAGTTACCCGTGTTGTATTTAGAGCAGGCTCTGCAAGGACGGCGTTAACACACACACGTGGCACAAATGCTGGTTTAGCTCCTGCCCCCCAGGCCAGGGGCGAGGCAGTGTTATTGGCCGGTGACACACTAATAGTGTGGAAGTAAATTTTGCCACAAGATGGTAAAAACATCAATGTCCTCAATGGGTAACATGATGAAAAGACCTTGATGGTTCCCGAGGGAGCAGGACAGACACCAGCTCCCTGGAGGCTGAGCTTCAAGTTGCTCTGGCCTTTGGCAGTCCAGATGTCAAAATAAATGGTATTATTTTAGAAATGCAAAAGTGATAGAAAATATCATGTTCCCAATGGGTCGGTGCTGTGAAATTTAGAGGACTTAAGTAACAGGGTTTGTCGTAAGGATTAGTTGCTACAAAATGGATTGCTAATGTTAAATGACTTTTGAAACATTCTTGAAGAGGAAACAAGAAACGATAATAAAAATAATAAAGATGTAACAGGGAGTGACCTCTACAAAATGCAGGGCGAGGTTACTGCTCGAACACTGGGTAAGGGAGGGCTGATAATAAACGCATTCCTTTCCCAAGGGAAGGAGGAGTTGTGTCTTGGGAGGGTGAGGAAGGGAAGGGTCCTCTCTAGGAGACAAAGCCCTGGGACTCACCAACCCCTTTCTCAGCAAAAATTCCCATTTCTGGGCTGGAATTACCTCCAATAGGTTGGCAGTTGTTCCCGTGGGATGGCACCTGGTCTCTCGGCCCCACGTGGACACCCCACTTCTGGCTCTTAATTCCTTCTCCGTAGGGCTGCTGCTGCAATGAAGCAAACTACTGCAGTTATCGGAGAGTGATATCCTCAAAATATTCCTATCAAAATGCTGCACAGCAGGAATACAACTGTACTGAGCTCTGTAACGTGGATTAAAGCCTCAGAGACAACGTGAATGTCTCCTTCTAATTGCATGAAATGATAAATCATTATTGCGGGGCTGAGGAACACTTGAGAGGCGGCGTGGTGGGGAGAAGGACGTGATGGTTAAGGGAGGAGAAGGAGCGATGGGCAGAGGGGTCTGAGCCATCAGCTCCATCTGTGAGGCCTCCGGAGCAAAACATGACTAAGGGCAGAAATGTCTCCCTGAAGTGACAGCTGAATGCTTGAGGTCGGGAGGAATGTGGTCTCGGAGCTGACACAGCTACACTGGGGAAAAAAAAAAAAAAAAAAAAAAAAAAAAAAA